ACACACACACACACACACACACACACACACACACACACACACACACATCTCGACCAAACTGTATGTGTATTTAACCTCCTTTGTCTATTTCAGGTAAAAATGAAGTCAATCTCTTGCTCACTCAGCTAGGTGGCACATGTTGCTAGGTCTGGAGTCAAGTAGACCGAGTTCAAATTTGACCTCAGGCACACAGCGTAACCCTGGACAAATCACTTCACCTCTGTTCCCCTCAATTTCCTCAAAATGGGGATAATAATAGCACCTACCCTCCAGAGTTGTTGTGAGTATTATGAGACAGTATTTGTAAAGCACTTAGCATAGTGACTGGCACATAGTAGGCATTGAATAAATCCTTTTTTCCTTCCTTCCCCTCCTTTCTTTCCTTCCTTCTTCCCTTCCTTTTTTCTTTCTTCCTTCCTCCCTTTCTTTCTTTCCTCCTCCTTTTCTTTCTCTCCTTCTTCCCTTCCTTCTTTCTTTTAGCTTTCTTGAAGTAGGGATTGAAGACATCAAATCTCAGCTTTTTATTCTCCTTCCTTCTTTCCACTCTTCCCACTGTTTCTTCCATGTTTATGTACTTTTCTGGATCAGTCAGTAAATCAGTCAACAAACATTTTTTAAGTACCTCCTATGTTCCAAGTACTGTGTTAAACACTAGGGATACAAAAAAAGAGGCAAAAGACAGTTCCTGCCCTCAAGGAGTTTACAATCTAATGTGGGAGATAACAAGCAAACTAATATGTGCAAACAAGCTACATACAGGATAATTAGGAAGTGAATAAAAGAGGGAAGAAAGGAACGCTAAGCAATGTGGTGGGCAAAGCCCTGAGTTTCAAACCAAAAGACCTAAATTCAAATCCCGGCTCTTCTACCTATAAGCTGGTTGACCTTAGGCAAGCCCCTGGCCCTCTATGTACCTCAACTTGCTCTTGTATAAAAATTAGGACTATGTACTAGAAGATTCTCAGTGATGTATACACATTACTTTGGATGCCATCCAAGGGTATTTGGGCACCTGAATGTAGGTAGGCATTTGAGTGAGGATTACTTGATTACCTGGAAGGAAATTTATTCTATGTTGTGACTTCACTTTGGTTCATCAGGTTGTATAAGAAAGAAAGAAAGAAAGAAAGAAAGAAAGAAAGAAAGAAAGAAAG